TGCATAGCGTAAAAATAAAAATAAATTTTAACTAAACCTATTTTTCTGTAAAGAATAAAATTAAAATACAGATCGCAGTATACTTCACCACAACGTATGATGTCGCCGGGACAAAACTTACGACGTTTGCAGTTGTTTGCCATCGACTCGCGTAGGTATATARGCAAAGGGTAACCAAAAATATAATCAATATATTTTTTAACAAAATTTCTAATGATAAATTAATGTCTAGGTATACTAAATTACTAAAGACAAAATTCCCTCGAATAATAATAAATAACTACGCAACATGAAATGTCTATATGGGCATAAAAAAATAATAATAATAATAATAATGATACGGGCGTACTCACAATGGTATAATATAACAAAAAATAATAATATAATTAAAATTATATAATAATAACGGCACTTTAAATAATTTAAATATCTTGTGAAACACAATATAAATGAAGATGATGAGTATAAGTTAACAAATAACATAATAGCATCGGACCGATGGACACTACATGGACTAACCTCTAAGAAGGCTTTGAAAGTTAGTTACCTTATCCTAAGTATATGCTTTGAACGGACAAAACTGACACGTCCACGTGGCTTCTGGACCTCAGCAATATCGGCAAATAGAATGTGGATAGCGGATACCACACGAATGGGAGTTACCATAATAGTCTTGAGGATCGGTGGACGCGGCAGTTAATGGCCGGAAATTCAACAGAGCCCCTATGCGGTTCAGCATCGTGGTAAACTCTTCATACGTGAATAAATGAGCTCCGATTACCGATAACGCAGGTCAACAACCTTTTCATCGATGCCGCCTACCGATAGACTCCAAAAATGAGGAGCGCCTGGCGGATTAAAATTCCGCTCACAGGTGACAAGAGAATTTGGGTACTTATGTGTTATCTCGACTACCTTGGATGCACAACCATGTTATCTTCTCGACTACCAAAATATTTCCAAGACTACCTGTTAGAATCAACCGTGTTATCTCGACTATCCGAATACGTCTTCCATCGGGCGAGACCGTTTTTGACCGAAAACGTACCCTTCCCTTTTCGGCCGATTCACTTTTCGACCAAATTTAAAAAAGACGGATTCCATTTTCGGCCAAAACAAAAATGTATATAATGTAATATGTAGAAAAATTAAATAATTGCTGCTATAAAATATAGTTTTTTATAAGTTGCATAAAATGTTGTAAACTAACAATACTCATAAAAATACAATTCGTGACAAAATGATTTACAAAATTATATTGATTTTACACACACACTAAAAATTATCCCTATTATTTCATTTATTTAAATTTTGATGGTTTTTCAAATTGAACTTAAATTTCTTGGTACTATTCAACTATTCAGTACCAACTTATACTTTTAATAATTTGTCAAAATTACATAATTATATAATTGCCATAATTTTGCAAAAAAATTTGTTGTTGGTCGAAAAGGAAATCAGTCTTTTTAAAATTTGGTCGAAAAGTGAATCGGCCGAAAAGGGAAAAGGTACGTTTTTGGTCGAAAACGGCTATGCTCCTTCCATCAATTACCTCCGTATAGGAATCTATTTAAAAATGTATATTCTCGCGGTGTAATCTGYATCATCGCAATAGACAATTTAATTAAGTTTTTGATGTATATCATTTACTACCCACGTATCTTGCAATCAGATCTAGTATTTATGTCGTCAGTCAGTTGACAGCCGTTGTTCTTACGGCCGTAAGTTATTGTTTACTGTATAGTACGTACATRCACCTTATGACTATGCATTTTTTTAATTTACCATCTTCAGAGAAGGAAGCTGTGCAGTTTTTTCAAGAACGCGGAGTGTCGCCAAGTGTGGGGATTTGTCAAAACAATCATTTGGCCAAGTTATATTTTRAAAGTGTTGACAAATAGGACAGACCGGACAGTACGGCCTTTGTGGCAAAACAAACAAATACTGATATATACATTTTTACAGTTCGGGACTTCTTGAGACCCAGTTCGGACATCTGCCAGCGGGTCGGCGAAATCAACACCGACACATGGTCGAACGGCCTCACCTCTGAACGCACGCGGCTGACAAGTCGGCCGCGTATTGAAAGGTTACTATTTTGTCTTTTGTTGTTGATGCTTTTTTTGGACTAACGTGTTTTTTCCCCTAGTCTCTTGACAGTAAAAGCAGTTTTCATTTTTCCTAATTGTTTTGACATTTTTATCAATTGTTAAGAAAAATACTTGGAACCTTTAGGGCTAGTTTTACCATCTCTGATTAAAGTTAACCGGAATTTAATCGGATATATTTGATCTGTTATCACTTTATCAGCTGATTAAGCATAATCGAAGTTTAATCGTAGACGGTACGTCGGTACAACTGGCCCTTGATCCAAAACTGGTATCTTGATTTACTTATCTACTAGAATAGATGGTTAAGTGAGAAATCGAAGCAATTTTTTTCCTCTATGCATCGTGTGCATAGGCGGTCCCAGGAATTTACATCAAGTGCAGCACATTAAATTATAGTATACACATATAGGTATGTAGTTATATCCCAAATTCCCAATATCATTACCACACACTTATAAATACATACAATATACACACACAAATAAACATATTATTCCATTTTTTTACTTGGAATTTTAAATCTTATTTATTTTTATAAACAGTTATGAATAATTATAATTAATATTATTATCTCAACTGATAAAAAAAAAACGTGGAGGGCGGTTGAAATGGTCGTATCCCATTTCGCCGCGGTACCATTTCGCTGCCAAATTAATCCCATTTTGCCGCAAAAAATTATTTTTGTCTTAAAACATGGTTATGAATTTGTGATTTGAAAAGTGATAAATAGACACAGAGAAATATTTATCGTTTGAAATGTTCTAAGTGAAATACTATCTCAATTCTGAAGTTATCGATTGATAAATCCCCAATAATTTTATATTTTTATAAATAAAATAGAATGAATAGTGTTTCGTTGCAGCGATAACTGTAAAGTCRACAATTTACTGATTAATTTTTGAAAATTAATTACTAATTATTACTATTTTTACATAAATACATATTACATAAATATAACTAATAAGTATGTAATTTTTAATCTTAAGTTTACTTAAAAGAGTTACTTAAAAAATAAATTCGGCAAAATGGAACTGCGAAAAATTAAAGTCGGCGAAATKATGGTACCGCGGCAAAATGAAACGACGGCGAAATGGGAGCTGGCCGTTGAAATGTCAGGTGCAGCACAGGCTGCAGTGGCTGCACYCGTAGGACCGCCTATGGTCGTGTGTACAAAAAAAAATCCGATCTTTATAAAATCAAAACAGTCATCGCTCCGCTCAGAATCTAAAACGCATCATTATAACAACATTCACTGCCAGAATTAAGAACATTAAATAGAATACCTATTATTTGAAATCACGATTCAAAAATCATATGGAATATTATGTCAAATGTGCTATACTTCTATGCGTATAATATCCACCAGACAAATAAAGCAGTAAGTACCTATTAAGGGTGAATCACGGAAAAAAACCAAGGAAAAAAAAACAAAAAAAAAATTAAAAATCAAAGGAATAAAAGACCAGGGAAAAAACCAAATGAAAAATAAAACCATGAAAATAAAAACCAAATTTTTATATTTTGCCATATATTATTATGTCATATTTCATTAGACATATATGTAAGTTTTAATTTTCTAATTAAAAATGTAGATCAATAATTCAACTGTCCAGGTGTTCTATCTCTTGAATACTTTCGTAACCAAATTTGTAAATTTTGAATATTTAAAAATAATATATATATATTTTTGTATTTAAAAATAATATATATATTTTTATATTTAAAAATAATATTTAAATTGTTCACATTTAAAAATATATAAAACAGCTTAACTTTGTTATGCTATGTTTTGGTAGTATTATTTCTGTGTTGGGAAATTTTAGTTTACATCATTATCAATTAACATTCTATATCTTATATCTTATATTTTGTACCTWTGTATGGCTGTAATTTGTGTATATATTGTATATTATATGGTCATAAAGGTACAATAGAGGCATAGAACTATCATTAAGATTAAAAATGTACTTATACTGGGCAATACTGGCCTAAAAGTTGTTTGACTTATTTAGACTGTTAAGATTATACAGACGTCAAGCACACCTGCATCATTTTATGGTAGGTATATATTACCTAGTGGCTAGTTATGATATTATATATATAATTAGAAAATTAAAACTTATGTCTAATGAAATATGACATAGGTAATAATACATGGCAAAATATAAAAATTTGGTTTTTATTTTCATGGTTTTTTTTCGTTTGGTTTTTTTCCCATGGTCTTTTATTCCTTTGGTTTTTAATTTTTTGTTTTTTTTCCTTGGTTTTTTTTTCGTTTATCATTCAGAGTACGTGACAGTGGTATTTGTTGTCTCCGTCTTACCAGTGCGTAGTATAGCAAATTTACGCTCAGCAGAACATYTGTAACAGTTGTAGCTCCTTTAGTTTAAAAATTACAGTGAATCGACCTATTATGAAACTTGATGGTAAGAACATTATCTGTGTTTGTTCGTTGGTTTTTTACAATAATTCAATTTTTAAGTGAGTTATGAGCATAAAATGTACAGTACATTAAAAATGCTCATGACTCACTTAAAAATTGAATTATTGTAAAAAACCAACGTACAAACACAGATAATGTTCTTACCATCAAGTTTCATAATAGGTCGATTCACTGTAATTTTTAAACTAAAGGAGCTACAACTGTTACAGATGTTCTGCTGAGCGTAAATTTGCTATACTACGCACTGGTAAGACGGAGACAAAAAATTCCACTGTTCGTACTCTTAACACAATTCACAATTCTATTATATTATTAGGTATATGTCTGTACAATTTATTGTGTTAGCTGTACGGTAAATATGCGTTTGTTGGACAACCTGTCATGTTATCAACGGCCAGTATCACGATTTCGTCTCAACGATTGTTAACGGATCTATAATCATTATTGTCAAAATATGTCGAATGTGTTATGTTTACACTTTTGGTGTTCGACTGTTATTGTTGTTTGAGACGGAATTTATTGATTCAATATTTCAACAATTAGTTTGATCAAGTGATCACCCATTTTTTTCGAATTCAGCTTTAATTATTGACAACACAAAGGAGGATGACTACGAATCTAAATATGAACGACAGTAGTGCCKCCATGGATGACAGTTCAAAGCGACGGAGGTAAGCACACAGTAGTACTATTCTGTTCTTTATATAATATAATAAACATATTGTGTGTTTTTCTTTAGCTCGCGTTCGATAAAGCGTAGAAAATTTGACGACGAATTGGTTGAATCGAGTTTGGGTGCAGGTTTTGGGTCACCTTTGCCAAAAACTCAACGCACACGTACCCAGTCGTTGAACATGACGTCTACAGGTTCGGGTTTGTACATTTTTGTTATTTGCAGTTTAACAACAATTATGTTAAGCTAGTATAAGTTTTTCCGTACTGATAAATTTATCGTACACTGATTCTTAATGATTAATGAATAATTGTGTCATTCAAGTTGAGATATATTCAGTTTATTGGCACCGTTTTGTATTATACTCTTACGCAGTTTACCCTTAAAGWCAACATAATTCAGAGGCATGATAACTGGTCTAATTAGCAGTTGTCTTTAGAGGACATCACACCCGCATGCACTGTCTGCGTCTTACAAATCTAGAACATACCCAAGACTTTACTTGCGCACGACAACTCTTCTCCCTCAGTATTTATAATCGAATTATGAGAATTCCATAACGCTTAGGTAAGAACTTTATCTGTGTTGTAGTGTCTTTATTGTTTGGATGGCACAACCAATAATTTTTAATAATTAAATGAAAAAATGAAAAAATAAAAAATAAATGTATTTTCTTAAGTTGATAAATTTAATTATATTTATATAATCAAAAAAAAAAATAATAAAAATATAGTCGTTATGACACAGATAAAGTTTTTACCTATGCGTTGTGAAATTTTGATAATTCTGTTATAAATACTAGGAAAAGTTGTCCCGAGAAAAACAGTGTTTGCTATGTTTTACATTTGTAGGACAGAGACAACACATGCGGGTATCACATTCTCTTAATGTTCATTGCTATAATAACATTATTGTTTTGTATTCATATATATATTCAACTCATATTTAATATTCAGTTGCTATATAATTTGTTATATACAGTAAAACCTCTATAGCGAACCCTCTATTTAAACGGTAAACTCTTTATAACGGAAAAATGTTTGGTCCCAAATGATTCTGTCATAGAGAGGTTTTATTGTAATATAGAAATAATACAGATTATCAGATTATTATTCACAGCTTTTAGGCAAGTTTCTATCATGTTTATAATTATTAACACAAAAAAGTATTCAATACTTGTTGTTTTACATTTATTGTTTATTTGAAGTAAAAGTTATAAATCATATAAAAGAATATTAACTAAATTTAAGTACCTATATATTTTAATTTTTTTTATAGAAATAGATAATGCCATGTCACCAGTTCATAGTGTTCCTGAAGCAGTACTTACTGCAAATACTGGACCATCTACTTCAACTACTCAACCACGGAAAATTCCTTCAAACAGAACTCCTACAAATACCAGTTCAGTAAATAATTTTGCTAGTGCACCATCTACTTCAACTGTCTCATCATCATCAAATCGAAATAGATCAAGAAAGCAAAAGAATTTAAATAAAGATTTGGGACGTTGGAAACCTACAGATGATTTAATGTTAATACAAAGTGTTTTGCAGGTAATATTAACTTATATAAGTAATTATTTCAAACTCTAATATTTACAATTTTGTATCACTTTATAGACCAATAATTTACCAATTGTCCATAGAGGTGTTAAATTTAGTTGTAGATTTACACTTAAAGAAATTGCTCAAAGATGGTATGCTTTATTGTATGATCCAACAATTTCTAGACTTGCTGTATCAGCAATGCGCAATTTACATCCAGAAAGTGTAGCCAATATAGAAGCCAAAGCTCTATTTTCTATTGCTGAAGAAGAACTCTTAGCTACCATACAATCAGTATGTTCAGTATTTTTGTTTTATTTATTTTTTTTTTTTTTGTAATAAATTGATTTATTATGATTCATCAAAGAACTCACAACCCACCATTGAAACCTTCCAAGACTTACTCACTGAAAATCCAAACATATTCCATCGAAGACGCACGGCTAAAAGTCTTATGTGTCATTGGCAACAAATGAAACGATATTCATTGCTATCAGATCAGTGTAGTAAGTTATCATTTAAAAATTATTTCTTTATTTACTAATTTACTGTATTAAATAAACAATACCATCTAACTATAATTTTTAAAATTGTTAGAAAACATTTTATTTATATTGTAGGTATGTTTTTGTTTGGTGTGTATGTCTAAATTAGCATAAAATATAATAGTTAATATCTAATATTATTAATTTTATAAATAATTTTTTTGGTAATAATTTTTATATATTTTTAGCAGAATAATAACTAATAAGTAAATACTAAATAGTAATATTATATCAAACATTTAAAAGTTATGTTGGAGTTTAAAAATTTTGATTGCATTTATATGAAAGGTGGATTGCATTTAAAGAGCATTTTTTTTTTATTATATAGATTTACATTTTTACTATTTTTACCTTCTTATAATAATTGGAACATATTTTATTGTTTTACTGTAGGTGCCTTAGAAAATCCTATTCCAATACCATTGATGAGTGCACTAGAAGATCGAAATATTCATATTCTAAACAATGAACAAGAAGGTAATGCCTACTATATTATTTATTTTAATAAGTATTATACAATAATTATATACAGAATATACTAAAATTGTCATGCATGCAATGGTCACAGAAGAGACTAAAATAAATTACTGCTATACAGAGGTGACCGTTAATAGAAAAGCAATACTTCCCCAAATGCTCAGAAATATGTACATAAAAAAATATATTTGTGACATAATATGTAACATTGAAGAATTATTTAATTATAATTTATGTTACTTAACTTTTTTATTAGGGTGAACTTAATAAAACGACCCTGTTTCATTAGTATACAAAAAATTTGTGGCTCATAAGAATAAATTAATTTTTTTTACTTTTTACACCATTTGTCCATTGTTTTCATACCAATTAATTTATATTTTCCACAAACAACTTTAAAAGAAATATTGTACCTACGATGCTTAAAATGTAGTTAATAAGTTATAAAGCTGTATCTTTATTGTTATTAAATCGGTAGCTTGAGTTCGCCTTATTTCAATTTATCTATTTATATTTTTACAATATTCTAACAACTTAATTTTTTTTGYTACAGTTAGGTGTTTTTGTTTGGATGACACCATAACTACGCTCTTCAAAACATTTTTAACTGACACTGAAAACTAACAAAACATAATAAAATACACAGACTCGGTGTGTTCATAAAGTTATCGTAAAAACTTGATAAGATAACTATAAACTGCCTTAAATAATTTGAAAAAACCACCCAATTTAAATTTTTTTGTTATTTTATCTTATATTTTGAACTTTATTTAGAGGTATTAATATTATTTTCCTCTAACACTTAACAATACCAAAAAAAGTTAACAGAAGTTTTACTGTATTATATTTATTTTTTACATTTTCTAATGATTATAAAATTGTTATTTTTTTTTTTTTAGTTACCACATTAACGTCAGAACATATTCCTACATTTGCTGAATGTGAAGACTTATTAAATGATCAACATTTATTGATGGAAAGGCCTGATCCCATACTTGAAAGACATCTTGCTTTAACTAACAAGTAATAAACTAAGTTTTAGTATAATAATAGGAGGTCAACATTTTATGCGGGACTGCTACTAGTTAAATACTTTCAAGTTAATGATTATTAACTATCATAATTCCTAGGTTATTTATTTTGATCGTTGAAAAACAATATTAAATATTATTTGGTGTTATTAATTTTAATGTTTTAGAACTAGCCAACAAAATAATCTAAAACACAACTAAAATGAAAAAATGTTTGGTTTCTTTGATAACTTAGCCATTTATGTTCATCTGGAAAACAATATTTCAAATTGGCTGTGTTACCATTGTAGTAACTGGCACATTAAAATTGCATTCATAAATGATATTTTGTCCAAGTTGCATCCATAAATTTGTCAGGGCATATCCGAGTTGCGTCCATTATTTTTGTATAGCATGTTTGAGTCTCGTTCATAGGGTTTTCAACAACTAAAAATAATGTTTGGTGATGAACTCATAGATAACCTCAATTATCGATTTCTTATCTAAAAATATCACCTTACAATTAATTGTTAGAAAGTAATTTTGTTCATGTTAGCCTTATCATAGTATTAGTCATACTTTGACATACAATCATCATATATTTAATTTATGCTTGGCAATATCATAATAGAAAATCTTGAAATAATTAAAATTTTTAGTGGAAAAAACAAACAACAATAAAATTGTATTGTACAAGTTTGCTTTCCACAAAAATTTTAAATTGTAATATGTAGAGGTGTTTGTGTTTAAAACGTTACTTTAAAAGTTTTTTTTTTAATTAACGAAAATGGTGAAATAATTTTTAGTTCTTTAAATCATGTCAGTCCTCAGTCTGTAAAAGTGAGAAGGAAAATATTATGTATATTATTAACCAGGATGCAACTTGTATATGTTGCGAGAAAATCGCGGATGCAACTCAGATATATAGGGATGAGATTCCATTTATTGTTACTTTTATTATATACTATTTGAATATTACTCGCTTAAACACGCTACAGCAGTGATGCCCAACCTTTTTTGTTTGGCGTGCCACTTTGGTTAATAATCATCTTCGAGCGGGCCACTAAATATAAAAGTACGAATAATACCAATTTTAATCTAATAATATAATTTTTAATCAAATTATATAATCAAACTAAAAAAATGATATTTTAAAATTTTATTCTCAACTTCTACATGAAGATTTCTCTGCTTTAAGAAACGTTTTAATGAAAATGGCAACTGTATTTGGCTCGACGTATATTTGTGAACCATTATTTTYGCGAATGAAACAAATAAAATCAGTTCATCGATCGCGACTCACGGATGAACAAATTTGTCATTATTAGTTAAGCAAACTCAAGTTCAAAATTCACATTAAACATTTCTTTGTTTTATTTTTACTATAACCATATAATATATAAATATAATTTTACTTTTTTTAKAATATTTTGTTTTATTTAATAATTTGTGACGGGCCACACAGAATACCTTAGCGGGCCGCAGGTTGGGCACCACTGCGCTACAACATACTATTATCTAATATTCTATAATTTCCCTCTCAATGTTTATTCTGCAATGTATATTATATTGTACATTACAGTAATCAAATAACGTTTTGAAAAATTAAATACAGAATGTACTTTATTTTAGATTTCTGTTAATGTTATAATGATATGTTAAATATTTTGTTTTTTAATTGAATTAATTTTTATTTCTATCATTCAAAACTTCTTAGTGTGTACTTAGTTTTGATGTTTTCTAGAACATTAAATAATTTAACCATCTAAATATGTTAAACTTTTCAAGTCATTGTTAATGCAATACTTTATAATTCTTTGTATAATTTTTAATTTTTACAGAAAAATAAAAAAGGAAATCAAAGTTTTGGAAGATGAATTACCTAGAGCACAAGTATTAGTGTTTCCAATGACTGGTATCAATCCTGTGGAGTTTGAGCCTCAAACATTAGCTGTGTTACGTGGTCGATTGGTCAGATATTTGATGAGGTCTAGGGAGGTTAGTTAAATTTAAATTTAAATGTTAACTAGGAACATAGCTGGACCAGTTTTATATATTTCAGATAACTATTGGACGTTCATCAAAGTATCAACAAGTTGACGTTGACTTGAAACTTGAAGGACCTGCTTGGAAAATATCTAGGCGACAAGCAACTATACGTTTGCGTAATACTGGTGACTTTCTAATTGCTTGCGAAGGTAAAAAATGTTTATATGTTGATGGAAAACCTCTAACAGCTGGAAGTCGCTGCCGCCTCAATCATAATTCTGTTTTGGAGGTTTGTTAATAATTTGAGAACAATTAATTAATGGATATTTTTTTTAGAAACTACATTTCCTAAGAATATACCATGATATAACCTCTAAAAGTAAACCAGTTAAATGTATAATATCCTTAAAATGTTTATTTCACAATTTTCTGTTTTTTTTTTTTTTAATTTTTTGAAAATTCTCTATTAAATAATGAAAAATAAAATCATTTACAGTTTGCAAATTTTTAAATTAATTTAAACAAATAATATTTAGTTATTGTTATTATAGGTTTAATCATTTTTGTAAATTTTAAATTTACTCAAATATACTTTAAATTTAGTATCATACAATATTAGAGAAATTATTAAGAGACCTATACTGTACAGGTACATTTTTTGTTATTTTTTTTTTTTTGTATCAATGATAATCATTTCCTATAATAGCAATAGTAATGAATTTGTATATTATTTATCTGTTTATTTATCATATTTATAATATCTATTTATTTATAAAAAATTATAGATTGCCGGATTGAGATTTCTTTTCCTCATAAATCATCAATTAATAAATACATTTAAACAAGAAGCATGCTCTCAAAATCAGGTGCAATTACCTGTACAAATAGTTAACCAGACACCTCAGAAACAGAGTGCCAATCAAAAATCACAGAAGACTACAGTTACAAAAGCTGAAAAACCTGTGCAGACCATTGAACAGCAACAGCAACAGAAAAAATTATTCGAAGAACAGCAAAAACAGAAAATGGAAGATCATGAGAAAAGAATTTTAGAAGAGCAGAGACAAAAAATATTGCAGCAGCAACAAGATGAACTGGAACAGCAACTGAAATTGTTAGAGGCCGAAGAAGTAGAACATAACCAACGTCAACAAAATATGCTGTAAACTTTCCGATTAAATTAATATTTATTTTGAAAAAATTCTATTTATTGATGCGAATATTTTTTTTTGTATCATTTAATATTAGATATTATGCAATTCCTGTGACGTATATTACTGTAAATGAGACAATATTTACTTGTATATTTTAATTTCATGTTAAACTAGTTGATTACACACTTTTGATATATTTGTGTTACTGTGTTAGATATTCTTTCTCATTTCAGTTGATAAATTATGTTAATTTTACCAACCATAAAGTTGATTTTTTTTTAATCTTACAGTTAATCAAATTGTAAAACTCAGCATGGAATTGAGTCTCAGAACAATCTTATATATTTATACATAGGCGTGCACAGGGGGTATGCAGGGTATGCAGCTGCTTACCCTGAAGTTCTGTGAGGGGCGAACATCGACTCTGGAAAATTGAAACATCCAGTTATCAGTTATCAACTACCAAGTATTTGCAAAATACATACTTCTTGTATCATGTAACGGTATTTATTACAATATTTTTTTAATTAAACAGTAGGTTTTTTCAATATTTGTGAATTGTGTATACATATTATCAGAATTTTATGAGCTTAAAATAACTTTCAGGGCGCGCTTTGTCAGCCTTCTGCATATCCTGAAAAAGAGGCCTGCGCACGCCTATGTATATATACACACAATAAATTTCTACTACTATGCTTGAACTAAAAAATTGTCATTGTGCAACTATTAAAATTGTATTGCACATGTTTGCTATTCACAAGTACAAAATTAAATATATTTTTGAATATTTCACATGAAAGGTGAGTTTTGTAAACATTATTATTTATTACATATATTTTAAAGATACTTGTTGTGCCAAAAACAAATTTTATTAACCTAAAAAATAATCAAAAAACTTTGTAATTGCATATTGTGTTGTTTCCATTATATTAACGATTAACTTAAGTACCAAAACCTGTGTTCAGTTCTTCCAAATTTTGCTAAACATTTTAGAAAATTTAGCTATTGTAAATATTACTGGATTAATATATTATCTATGTTCTCTTATTTTTGTTTGATATTTTAATTTTTTAACAAGTTATAAAATATTAAAATTTCAAAATCGTTATAATAGGTTATAAAAAAAAATTTCAAGAAAGCACAGATAATCTAATAATGTTCTAACCTTAAGTTTTGTACCTAATAGCTCAATTTACTCTGAAATTAAATTAACAACGCACATTGAACTAAATTGTCCATATTATGTAGACAGATGCCATGTGTTACATATAATATCTTTTTAATATTAAAGAAAGGTTTTTTTTTGGATAGGTACCTACTCCCATTGTTGGTCATTCAAAAAGATAATGGACAAGTAGTTATGATAATTTTTCGCATTCATTGAAAAAAGCTATATTTATAAATGTGCAGGTATACCTACAATATCTATTATTTTTGCCAATAAGAGGTTAATATGAAAAAAATTCAAACTGATTCGATCGTGTTTTCAGTTGGGTTATGAAATAGATTAGTATACGGTCTACCTACAGCATTACGGCATATTGTGCACGTCCATCACTTGTATAAGGTATAACAAATGATACAAAGGCTTATACTAGTATTGTGTGATAGCTAAGTTAAGTTCACTTTTTACTACTACCTCTAAAGTATACCTAATAACCTAATTACCATAAACCATAATGCTGTCTAGTATTGCAGTGTTTCATCTATATCGTTTACTCGTAATGTTAAATTTGCTAATTACTATTAATGCTGTTTGTCATCATCTTATCTGAAACGATTGAAACTCACATTTTTTGCGCAAAATATCGGATTGATATATATATATATATATATATATATATATATTACATATTTATATATTTTTAGATTTCAAAGTAAATATCCTGGCATCTATAAGGAATTACAGAAAATTAATAAACATGCTCAGTCGCCGAGGTATATGAATGGTACTATATTACTATAGATACCTTAATTAAAAACAAATGTACAGTGTACAATGTCATACCTACTATCCATTATATTTTACCGTAAATATCATGGTGACTTCTCTTTACAGTATTGGCACAGTCGCACAGATGCAGTTAATTGAATATTAGATATAGACGAACTCTGTACGAAGGCTGTATTAGCATTGCAATAAGCGGTTCTTCCGCAATACCTTTGTTATTCATTGATTATGCTTATTGCATTCCAGTGGCAAAAAAAAAATCGAATTGTATTTATACTAGTTATATATTACAGTTTATTATGACATAATTAATCATCCATTAATTTCGGGAGGGGGGGGGGTGGTTGAACCACCAAAATCCCCTGCGTCTGCCGCTGGTGCATTCTATTACTATGCCTTACGCGGCATGTTTTGTCGGTTGCCGGTAAAACACGTTTCCAACAACAGCATATTTTTGCTTTTCCACAAAATGAGATATTTTACCAACTTTTCTATCWTAGCATATTGCATGATTAGGTCGTTACCTTGGTGGTACTTCATGTACTTATCTATGCATGCAACGACCACCAAATTTCCGGTTTGAAACTTTTTTTTTTAAACTAAAGATTTAAAAATAAAAATACATTTTTCTTTAATTTTTCAAGTATTTGCAACTATGATATTAAATTATATCCACCACAAATAGTTATATAAGATAGGTAGCTGGTAGGTAGTTACCACTGTCCACTTGTGTTTAATCTTGATACGCGTAGTTATACCTATGTAGGTACCTTATAATAAGGTTCAAATCCGTTCCCTAATAAGGTCCTTATTAGGGAACGGATTTGAACGCTCTAAAAACAATAAAAATATCTTAAAAATACGATTTAATTTAATTTAATTTAAATAACAGTATTTTTTTAAAATCATTTTTGACTTTGAAAAAATTTGTTTAATTTTAATTTTTAGGTATTTATTATTCGTATAATTTTCATCATCTTCTAGTTCTCCTATTTTAATTTTACCTTGAAGGCTATTTCCATTAAATGAATATACAATTAAATTTTAAATAGATACATTCCTTACAATAAAAGTAACCTTGAGTTTCATATTTTTATTTTTTCGAATGAATGTCGACTAAGTGTTTATCGAATTTTATCCATTCCTACATAAAAATGACTTTGAAAAATAAAAACATAAAATGCACTAAAAATGTCAAAACGTGTTAAAAATGCAAAWYAAAAGTTAGAGTTWTTAATTCCTTGATGCATGAAATGAACTTTGTACTTGGAAAGCAATGTTTACGGACGTTCAGAAAAAAATGCCATTTGCATTCAAGTCAGTTCCCTTGCTATTAAGGTAAGTCTAAAAAGGTACCTATCTATCGTACTAACTACTAAGTCATGAAAGTCATGCGATTCGAACGAACGATTATCATAACAGCGAAACGTTAAACGATTCATCATCACATTGTCCGCATCTAAATATTTATAAAACTTTTTAACACGACATGCTCGTAAATACATCATCCAGTCCGGCACTAGAGAAGCACCGCGTGCATTTTGTAAACTGTAAAGCGATTGAAACATAAAAAACTCTTTAGTAATAATATGCGGACAAATCGTGTYGATCGTTATTATTGCGTTGATTCGGATTATTTAAAATTCGTCAAAATATTATCGTTAGAAATATTTCGTCTCGACCGTATAATGATATTATCATTGGTAGGTAGTAGGCACCTATATACAGATAGGTATAGTCATATAGGTATTTGTAAGTGCAACTTGAACGGTAGTATAAAAAGTTTAATATTACATTGCGCATGGTATGTAGTTAACTATTAGGTACCTATTTGGTAATAGTGACTTTTATAATGACGCAACAAATGAAATTGTAGGGTGACTTTTCGCCCGACCCTTTTGCTTATATAATTTACGTGGTGCGTCACCCGGGTAACGCTAATAGGACGAGATT